GGGTGATTTTAACAAAGTAACAAAGGAATCGCTTCTGGAATTGCCTTTGTCTTGCATCGTTCTGTCAGTGATGCACTTCAATTTGACAACGCCTCATTGATACAATGAGAAACGATGCTTTTTCAAAATGCAACGACCCGATTCATCACAATTTGCGGTGCGCGGCTGCAAACAAACCACCGACCGTAATTAGATGTGATTTTGATTTTAATTTACGATAATGCTCATCGACGAAGATTGTTTAAAATCTTTACAGGTTGTTGACCCCTTGAGACCTTATCGAGACTTTTTTAAGCACGGCGGACGAAACATACTTTTTATATTCACGCTTCTTCATTGTATTGGTATTTGCACTTAAAAAAATATAAAACTTGCATAAAAAGAAGAGTAACTGAATAATACACTTATTTTCAGTTACTCTTCCTTCCTATCTATTAATTTTAACACATTTGTTATGTCTAAAGTTAGGTATGTTTGAAACAACCTTACATTTATTGAACGGGTGAAATTATAATTGCAGAAGTTAAAAGAACCAAAAAAGAACCAACGCTTAATCCAAATTATCCGATTTCAAGGTACACGCAATTTTCGAACCTACTTAATATTAGCGATAAGAAGCCTTAATAAGCCTCCGCAAAAAGCAAGAAAAATAGTCCTTAAGCATGTGTGTAAAAATGTCGTATGTTTACACGAAGTAAAAACAAAAGATAGAGAGCGGGCAGCGTTAGTGGAGCAAGGTCGCACCGAACCGGTCAATAATCAATGTGAGCGACCTTTTGTCGGAAAGCACTTATCATTATTCACGTTTTGCAATGATTTAGTCTCGCATCGACTTTAAGACTGCGCTAAACGGACAAAGAAAAATTACAACACGGCGCGACGCAACCGATAAGGCAACGGCAGAGTTAAATAACAAGGCGAGGTGCATAGCCGAGGCGTCCGCGCGGTGTTTGCTTAGCGGCGCTGAAGCCAACCAATGGCGGTGCAACACATCGACTCTCGCGGCCGAGTCATGTGAGCGCCGACCATGACCTTCGCCCGCGCCTGCTCTCCTGGTACACTTACTACAACTTTCCATAAAGGCAACTGTAACAGCACTGAGATATAACCGTATACACTATATATAGTTGACAATAAACAAAAATAGCAGAGAAGAGATTTGTTAATAACTAATGACGAAAAAGAAATAACAAATGTCGACAACATTATGTCGTTAATTCTCCTCAAAAACAAGATATATATATTTGAATATACACACGTGCGAGTGTTAAGAGATTGGAAAAAAAACTGATAAAATCTCTACTTCCGTCGAAGTCCATTTTACATCATACCTATAAAACCTTGAATTTAATTTTATTAAAATATATGTAATTTAACACATCACAATCACATCGAGGTCATATCACTTTACGTGCAAGTGCTTCCGCGATGCAGCACAACAAAGACGTACGACGAATGCGATGGGAACAGCAAAATAATGATATGATTTGATTTGAAAGAATAGTTAGGTACAGTAAATTAAACAAAACGTACTTGAAAACTATGTCATAAATTACCAGTGATATAATTAAAAGTGAAACTAGCCCCAACGCTATCGAGTCGCGTATTAGACATAATGATGCGGACATAAGTCAACATTCCCTCGTGGCAAGGTCGTCTAGCGACCGCTCGAGGCCGTGTCTGCGAAACAACACGGGGTATTTTCAGTAGGTATAGGTAATAAACAATCTTATGCACTCGAATGCATAGATACTAAATATAGAAAACTATGCACACAACTATACCTACAGTACGTTATTGTGGGAATTTTATCACTAATTGCTTTACCATTACTTTTCTTCTCTGGGCACTATAATTTATGCGAAGTGGTAAAGTTTAAGTAGACATAAATGTCAAAGGCAGTGAAAGTAGACTTGGCAAGGATTCTCGAACACACGCCGCCAACTAGTACTAGTGCGAATCACGTGAAAGGCGCGCTGGGCACTATTAGAAGTGTCATTGGCAAAATAGGTGACGTTAAAATTTATTGGCAGAAGTATTTAATTTGCCAGATAAAAATACGACCAGTAGCTGAATTAAAACGATGAGAGCTAAACAATTGAAGCTTGATGAACGTTTTCCACATCCGGTTTACAAACTTTGTTCCTGTATAAAGAGACGCGTGTATAAAAACAGTTCCAACGGACATTTGTTTCATCGTTAAGTCTGTCAGTTGCATTCATAACATAATAATATTACGAAAAGTTAAGACTGAGGCATGTCTGGGTACACGTATTATAATACCGTGTAATAAATAACCTTTACTACTTGGCAACAATATTCTTTTCAAGTGAGAGGGTGAAATTAGTTTCTGAGTCTGTTCGTTCAATAATACTTTATCAACTGTATCGCCCGTCATATGTCTATATCTTTCCTCTAAATGGGTATACTTTTAAGAAGATATCTCAGTACCTAAAATAATAAACTGATAACTATTACCACAGGAAATTTATTCCATGCTCATTGTCCAGAATCCAGATTAAGAAAGAAGCATTGCCATCACCGGAAATGGTCTTAATCAGTACATTATTACGTTCTATCCTAACATGACAGCGTTGCGGCTGCATCACGCATTAAAAAGCAAAGGTGTTAGAGTAAAAACTTTTACGAAGCCATAAGTTCCCCGACCTAGAAGATTTTAAACAAGGGTCGAGATGGAAAGTGAAGGCGGTACGGGGATAATTCCCACTCCATAGGGAGGAGAGATTCTATGGAGCAATCCAGACTGAGCACGTGGCCGTAAAATGGGCGCGTTGGTGCCGGTAACGATTTTCTCCGAGCACAGCTGACTACGTGCGCACTTGCGCAGTGGGCCCCGACGCCACGTGGCCGCCTGTTCACCCCCGGCTTCCAATTAGCCGCCGTCTGCCGCGCGACCGTCAATCGCAAATTAATTAAACATCACTAATTTGTAATTGTAACATTATGATTAACAGACACGTCAGTGGGATATCTCAAAGGTGGTGTAGGGAGAATTTTATATATTGCGCGTACCATACAGGGGTTTTCGGCGCAGTTTCGACTGCAGATGCGTAATTTCAACGTAAAATATACACGTAGATCCATAGGATGGAGGCGTGTTCCTGCAGACATGCGCAACGTGCTTGGTTGGGCCACGTGGCGCTTTCCCGTTGCATAACTTTTACCGAATGCGACACCGTCTGGGACAGGGGGGAGGAGAGACATATAGTACCATTAATTTGTCGTTTTCCATGGACATATTTTGCGTGCAATAAAGCGACGCTTGGCAATCCTAAACGCCAATCGATCTAAAAATCACAAACACAGTCACAAATCTTTAAAAAAAATGTCATTCATGTATCATTTCGCACTTAAACGTAAACCTATAGCGCAAATTATTACAAAAGATTCTGATCATCTTTGTGAAATACAGATGAAAACAATTGATATGATTGTACGGATAAATCCTTACGATGCCATTCGTACGTCTAAACGAACTAAGACAATAAAAGTAGTGACCAATATCTGACAGTGCCCACCACCTACATCGATAAGACTCCTATCGAAAAGATAAATTAACAAACGGCGCTATTTGTTTAGGGAATCACTGACTGCCGACGGTATGTATTTAAATGAAATGAAACGAATTGTTATCATAACAAAAATGAGTTGCTTTTGATTGCAAACTGAGCGTTGCGACTTGCACGCATAAGAATACATTTTTATAGGTTTCGCTTATTGTTAAAATATGTTATAGGAATTTAATTCAAGACACTGTCAACATTTATTCCGTACGAAACAAATGTTTATGCTTTAAAAAACGTGTTTAATTAGTATATTCGTTTGAAATAACACGTTATGTATGAGTTTTAAATTCAAAGTCGATTAGTCATAATATTATTTTTTACTTCCCGTTTTTGGTCATGTTTTATTGGAGGTATGATACCTTAACTTATGTCAATGTGACACAACTTAGACCGAGTGAAACAAGCAGCGTAGAACTCGATACGTACAACTTTCTGTCATAGGTACCAGGAAGTCAGCGACGTGAACGTATCGAGTCGCACCTTAGAGGCCCTTCTGTACCCACTACCAATGTTGATTTCTCTTACCACGTTGGATTTCGAAATGCAAATGTGTTATAGAGATCGGGATGTGGTAGTTACAATATCGTCGATCCTGCGAGGTGATTTTTAAGATTTTTTTCATGCGAATGTGTTTTAAATTATAACTCAAAAAAATCTATCATCACGAATCCAAATCGGCATTATTAAGAAAAACTATTAAAAGTCTGAGTGATTACCCAATGTTTTGTTGAAGCAGTGACCTCGGACAAAATCGTACTTTGAACAAAGCGTTTACACGTTGAAGATTTAAAAACAATTACAAAAGAACTTTGAAGACATTACAAACATATTATTCGTTCATGTATCAATTACGTAGGGTATAGTTATCATTCGAAATTTGATACTTGTTTAACACCGTATGTCAGAATAAACGCAAATGTGTACGTTTGACGTAGTAATCAATGCACTGTTGAAGTTATTGAAGCAGTTAAGCACGAATGAATGTATAATGTGATTGAACAGTGCGACGACGCTGCGGAAAAGCCCGCCATAATGTAACGTGGACGCCACGAGTACGCCATGCCGCAAAACAAGCGCTCCCCGTTCACAAACACAACTCAAATCGCATGTTTCTCGCGTCCATGCAAAAAAAATACACTCTCGCTTCACTTGTGGCACAGATGATCGTATTATGTGACGTAATTTCCGCCAGCCTCATATTATTACGGTGCCATGTGCCGAACACGTCGGCGCGCCGCAGTTTGCCGTACTGGAAATTCCAATGCGGACCTTAGAAACTTCACCGCCGGCCGGTTCACTTTACAATATAATCCATTTATACTTGTCGAAGACCTCGCAAAACCACTGATATGAAAAACGAATGATGACGAGAGCGCGGATGTGATGTATATCCATATTATGTTAGAGTAGCGGATGTGTCGCATCGAATATGCGACGGACGCGCGCGGCAGCTGCGGAGCAACTGGAAGCGGTGCCGCGGGGTGCAGCGTGGTGGAGAGGGGGAGGGGGAAGGGGGCGTCCGTGGCAGCCGGGAGGGGGGAAGGGGGGGTCGGTGGCGTCTAAGCCGCGCGTCTCGCTACTAGGCAGGGGCCCGCCGTGAATTGTGCAACGTCAGCGGGCGCGTGCGTACTCGCGCCACCTCGTCCGCTCGACCCGAGACGGGGAAAAAAACGCCGTAGCAATTCATCCGAGCGAACATTCGCGGCCGTCGCTTCCCCGCACAACATTCGTTCTAATCGCCGATACTCCAACATTTCGATCGCAATGTTTGGACTTCGGACCGGTGGCGAGAGACGCCTCGCAGAGTCTGCGTGCTTCGGCTCGTTTTCCCGGCGGCAAAGGCCATTCGCGTTTTTGCAGTCACGACGATTCGGCCGCATTCCGTCCGTGCACACTTCAATGATTTGCAAAAACGGTCGCACGGTCCGATATGTCCCATTGTTCGCTATCGCTCTTTGTTAGGGTGTAATCTAATAAGAGACTCCGGTGCTATTATAACGACAAAGGCCGTAACGTTGTGTTTATTCAGGAACAATACGAAATAATAGACGACAAAAACAGACTCAGTGCAGAGGTAGTTAAAATAACAAATAATAAAGGCAAGGGCTATGATTTCTTAAAGTAGGTACTACAAATAACAATGCTTAATGAAAACGAGACATTTGAAAAATGATTTGGTAATTTATATGATGATCAACTTGAGCCATTTCAGATGACACACCTGTTGTTATTAAAACCCATGCCCCAGAATTTAATACATGGAAATATTACATTGTCTCATTTATATTAACTATTTCTCATGTTAATCATTCTCATACACTAAAATATTAAAGTATAAAGCTTGCAATTGGTTGCAGGTCATGCAGGATTGGATGCCAGGATCGTACTTTGTGGCAGTATGGGGGAGGCCTATGTTTATGTACAAGCTATTGTTTGTACTCTGAACTAATGAATCACATTATTTATTTAGGATGATTTAATGTATTTTTTTTACTCTTTCGATTCAGATTTTTCGTTGATTCCAGTAGGTCGTTCATTCAAGTTTTATTCAAAAGATGACCTCTTCTTCAAGGTTTGTAAGGTATTCAAAGATATTTATCTTGCTTCATCGTCCGAGAAATCATCTTGTAATACAGTGTTCTAAATAGAGTAGACACCTAATGATTGTATAATGCAGCGGTAGGTATGTACACAAGCATAATAAAATGCAAATATCGCATGTACCTTCACTAGTTACTATGTCGTTAATGATTTACATTACGATTCAAACGATTTCACGCTCGGTGATAAGATTTCCAAGGTGACATCGATTCTCGATAGAAAAATACTCTATCAATGTGAAAATAAAAATGAAAATATGTTTATTGACAAACAGAATTACACTTAAGTACACTGTGCGTTGGCAACATACTAGGCAAAGTCTGTCCTGTGAAAATTTTCTGAAACTTGGTCGATATATTCAAATGCAACAGATTTAGTAACCGGTTGGTTGTCATTAACAATGAAACTCCACGCATATCCTCCACCAATTAACAATGCCCTAATAGTTTATTCGGCGGGAGAAATCGTGCTTAGTGCAAACACTTTCATTTACCAAATGTTCGGACAGACAAAGAAGCATAACGATGATGTTTCTTTGTATTCATGTGTACAAATATTCAAATAGTTTCATTTACTTATTCCAAAGTAATAAGTAAATGAAACTATTTGTATTCTGATTGAACCAGTTCATGCAGAGCGACATAACTTTTCGTTCTTTACTACGGCAAATGCATCTTAAGCATCATTTAATAATTTCTTCGGAATTCTCATCAAGATTCCAAGATCCGTTTCCATTATAACATTATCTACGATGAATTAGTGAAAAGAGACGGAACCCACGACCCCCATCGCCGACGCCAACAAAAAAGCTATTGGCATCAACTGCAACAAAAACCGCGAAATAACCTCATCTACGATAAGACAATAATTTAAAAATAAAACCACATCGCCAGCCGCTTGACGCTGATAAAGTGTGGTTTCTTTGTTTGCTATTTTCGGTTCGACATTGGCGATAGGAAAATGTGACGGAAATCATTTTACATATTTTTTTATTGCGCTATTGTAAATTGCTGTCGGTTATGTTGAAGATTTTCCACGGTGCATATAAACGTTCACGACTCGATCGCAGTCACTATGGTAACGTATGAAACTGCACTGTGATGATTCCGATCGAATATTTGTTTGCCTTTTTAAATATGTTCTATAAACTATCATAGTCTATTGATATTTTACTAATTCACATTCATAAATCACTAATCGTATAAATCTTCCCGCTGTTTGCATTCTGCCGATGTCGATTATCTTTTATTGATTCGGGTTCTATTTGTCGATTGTGTGTGTACACACAGCGAAGTTAGGACCAATAAAAACTAAAGTATATCATATCGTATTTTGTCAAGATTGCTCACATTTTATAAGATTGTGATCCATAACAAATAAATAACAAAGCAAGATTAAAACGAATAGAAAAGCAACAAAAGATAAATCCCGTTGTAAATTTCGTAATAAGAAAGCGTCTGAACATCTTCACGAACGTCTGGACGGGTGCGATGGAAACGAAATCAGTTTTCACAACAAAAAAACATCGGCAAAGTGCGAGTCGGACTCGCGCACGAATGGTTCCGAACCAATACCTATTAAATATTACCACTTAAATATTTTTTATTCTGTTTTTAGTACGTGTTGGTAAAGCGGAAACAGAAATATATCATATGGAAAATTTCAACTGCCTCACTATCACGGTTCATGAGATACAGCTTGGTGACAGACGGACGGACAGACTGACAACGAAGTGTTAGTAATAGGGTCCCGTTTTACCCATTGGGTACGAAACGCTAAAAATGAACTTCAAAATGTTTGCGTTAGAGATTTTTATTGATCCACAGCAAGTTTTCATTGTTCTCAACCAAAGAGTTCTTGCAACAAAGGGAGCGGAAGAACACAACGAAAGCGATATTCATCGAATTATTCATCCAGCAAATATCGGGAACGTGTTGCGGTAAAAGTTATCAAAATAGGCACGCACCGTTTAAGTGAAATTTTATCAGTTTTATGCGGTCAGAATGAAAGTGATATTGCTACGATGCTCTAATTAAGAAGTTGAACACAAGTAGCTATTTAACTAACATATTTCTTAAATTTTAAAGTTTTTTATAGTGCTAATCTCTGCACTTAAGATTGAATATTAAAACATGTAGAAAAAGTACGAAAAGATTGTCGCCGCTGTGGGAATCTGTATCAGCCGTTTAGTTCAGTGGCTAGAGCGTCAGGCCGCGAATGCCGAAGACGTGGGTTCGATGAAAAACTAAAATTTATAAAAAGCAATGGCGACATCTCTCGATCGAATTATCGTTGTAAAACGATATTCGAAATTGTTTGTATGCTGGAAAGGATAACAATAGATGCGCCAAGCATTGCTTCAAATGCTAAATAACAATGTAGAAAGAAGGCGTTAAGATTTTCGTCGCTGTGGCTATCAGCCGTTTAGCTCAGTGGCTAGAGCGTCAGGCCGCGCATGCCGAAGACTTGTGTTCGATTCCCACAGCGGCGACAATATTTTCGTACTTTTTCTACATGTTTTAATAATTCTTGTCAACTAATAGGAAGTAGATAAATTTGACGAAATTTTTTAATGAAATAATTTGCCATTTTCCTTTCATTTAATTCTCAACCGTTCGAGTTTACAGACAGTTCTGTGACCAAAATAATCCACACTATTGAACTAAAACAGATATAGTTGAGTTTTGGATCGAAAACGGCGTGAAGCCTAGAAATCTTGCGAGAGAGAGGAACTTTAATATAACATTCCCGGTAGCAGTAACAAAAAGAAGCTGTCGAGAACTGAGTGAACATAAAATGTTAATAATATATAATAATATATAATAATAATAACGTCTGTAATATCCACACAATTATATAAAAGGTGTTCTATTGATTTCGTCAGGTTTAAATGACTGTTCAAATTAATGATCTCTTGGTGTACTGGTCTGAGGAATGCATGAAACACATATCGCGCTTGGAGGTAAGCACAGTGAAAACTTCACACAAAGATATCTAACCCAAACTAAGCAGCGCTGGTACAATTATGGCCACGAGATAAAAAACGGTGAAAAGTTTACACTAACTTTGGGCACTAGTTAACTGATAAACATATTTAAACATACTTTTTGATTTCTAAATATACACTATAAACACCCAGACACAGGAAAAATTCTATGTTCATCACACAATATTTTTCCAGTAATGGGGATCGCCACCCTCTGACGCAGGTGGCAGGTTCACTAACAAATGGGTCGACAAAAATGTAGTCAGCAACATTCCAGTTCACCCAATTTAAAATAGGAGATGTGAGAAAATCCTTGTAAATGTTAGAAAAGACTTTTATATAAAAACTTTTCTCCTTTCCACAAATACGTTTCTAAATTTGTTAGAGAAAATGTGAAAGTAAAACAAGCAAAGACCTTTGCACATCTGCAACAAATAAATGAGACTCAATGCGTTGTTTGTAGAAAGCTTTAGGTAGTCTCTCTTAAGCTCGTGATACAACAGTTGTGTATTCCTTTTGTGCTTCTAAACGGACGTGTTACACAGTTGTTATACAGCTTAAAACAAAATCCCTTCCGAAGCTCAAAATTGACTTCAAGACAAGAAATAATTACACACTATCAAACGAAAAATAAAAACAGTGTTCATTTATATGAGATTATGTTGTCATGAATACAACTGCACATATACATTATACACATACATATATTCGGTACACTGACAAACTATAAAACCAAATAAACATTTAAATTGATGACTCCGTGGCGCAGATGCTAAGGTATCGACAACTATTTGCGTGACCCACAGATAATCTGGGTGTTTTCCATATGAAATTTAGGTATGTCAAATGTCCTTAAAAAACCCGAATAATATTGTCCTACAGTACAGGCGTCTTTTTTAAATAAAAAATACGAACAAAAACCATGCGCTATCAACTCTAACCACCGCGGACAGGCCGAGGTAATGCATCAAACAAATCCGCATTAGATTACACATCTACGAATCAAGCTAGGGACAGACATTATCCGAACAGGAAATCGCTAGTTGTGTTCAACTGAGAAACGGAAATAGCACGGAGCGCGGACACTCGATCCAACTGGACTGGCAAATCATGACTAGTCAACAGAAGATAGGGATACAAATAAAAGCGCCGTGCAAAAATAAATAGCTCCATTAAGGATTTACAATTGATGTCACTAAAATTCAAGGTCAAAAGAGACAAGTGATACATATCGTTCTGACGAGCAGTCAATTTGAAGGGACCGTTGCTTCCGAAGTTGCCGTGCCAATTGCCCGAATGCTTGCGCGGAGCGA